GTCACCTTTATTGCTCTGTGTGTGTACTAGTGTATGTGCATATAGGACCAGAGGTCACCTTTATTGCTCCTCAGGAGCCATCTGACCCCCTTTTTTGGGAGGGGGAGGAACACACATACTTTTTAGCCTAGAGTTTACTGGTTAGGCTAGGCTGGCTGGCCAGTGAGTCAGGGATCCACCTGTCTCAACCTCGGGGTAATAGCTACCACATTTCCCTATTTCACTGTCTCCCCAGCCCAAAACTAATGAAAAAGTTGATAGCCTGTTATTTAATGATTCATATATAGACAAGATTTTTAGAGGTTTTACATAATTTAGTGATCGTCAAATACCTCTCTAACATGTACTATCTATGTTAGACAAGACGCAAAAGTTCATCCATTGTTTTCTTACAGCAATGTGGCATAAATGCCAATGATGTGAAGAAATTGGAAGAGGCTGGTTTCCATACGGTGGAGGCTGTTGCTTACGCACCGAAGAAGGAACTTATAAATATTAAGGGAATTAGTGAAGCCAAAGCTGACAAAATTCTGGTAAGTCTAGCTTTGTGATGGTGGGGAGGGCAGACACGGTAATGAGAGTAATTAGTGCGTTAACAGTATATAAATCCCAGAGCAGGGATAGGGTCCCATTAAAATGTGTGTGTTTTCTATGTATGAACAGATTGTGCACTAGGGATAGATGCACTAAAATATTAATGTCGTTATTCCCATATAGTAAGAATATGAACTGGTTATTGTTTTGGTTTCATTTTTGTCTCTGCACTAGAAATTGAACCCAGGACTTCGTATATGCTTTAAGTACATGCTCTGCTACTGCTCCAGGCTCCAGCATTTATTTTCTTTCATTTTTATATTTTATTCATTTTATTTTATGTGTATGTTTTTCCTACAAGTGTATTATTGCAGAATAATCTTTTTGTACACTGAAGATATGTCATTAATACTGGTTTAATGAAAAGCTGAATGGCTGATAGCTAGGCAAGATTTCTAGGCACAGAGGATGCTGGGAAGAAGGGCGGAGACACCAGGAGTCGCCAGCCAACTGAGAGGGAACAGACATGAAGGAGAGGTAATTCCACAATTCATGTGGCAACACATAGATGAATAGAAATGTGTTAAATTAAGTTTATAAGAGTTAGTTAGAAACAAGTCTCAGCTATTGGCTGAGCTTTCATAATTAATGATAAGTCTCTGTGCCATTTTTTTTGTGAGCTGGTGGCCCAAAGAAAAATTCATTTACATGTATATGTGCACCACATGTATGTTTTGTGTCTGCAGCAGCCAGAAGAGCATGTTTGATCCCTCTGGAGCTGGAGTTACAGACATTTGTGAGCCATCATGTGGGTTCTGGGAACCAAACCTTGTCCTCTGCAAGAACAGAAAGTACTCTTAATTGCTGAGCCATCTCACCAGCCCAAGTTTTGGGTTTTTTGTTTTGTTTTGTTTTGTTTTTCAATTTTCTGACATCGCTACAATTTTCACAGTAAAGAGTTTTTACTTTCAAGCCCAAAAGCCATTTTTGCATGAATATCCAAGTCCTGTATTAAGTTCCAGTGTGTATACCCCATAACTAAATTTATCATAGACGGTATCTTCCTATCATTTGCTTAGGATATTTTTTTGTTTGTTTGTTTTGGTTTTTGGTTTTTCAAGACAAGTTTTCTCTCTGTAGTATTGGCTGATCTGGAACTTACTCTGTACAACAGCGTGGCCTTGGACTCATAGAGATCCACCTGCCTCTGCCTCTAGGGTGCTGGTATTAAAGGCATGTACTGCCACCTCCAGACGTCCATTTGTTTTTGTTTTTTACTATAACAAATGACAAGTGATTTTATTGAGCTGGGAATTGTGGAACACTTGAAAGGTTGAGGCAGGAGGATTTCCTGGAGAAATTCTAGACCACGTAGATTCATTCTAGACCACGTAGTTTCAGGCAAGCTTAGGCTGCAAGAGACCTTATTTTAAAAAAACAATAGAAAATAACTTGGTGTGTGGTGATACACACCTATAACTTCAGCACTCAGGAGGGTGAGACAGGAGAGTTTTGAGTTGGAGGAAGCTTGTAATATACAAGATCCTGTTCCAAAAGTACATAAAAAATAACAACCACTGATGTTATTACTGTCTCAGCTGTATATGGGGTAGAAATTCAATAACCCTGTTTTAAAATAGTATTTAATGCTTTCAAACACTATCAGATGCTTTTTTAAAGATTTTTGTTGATGCCGCTGCTATTATTGTTTAGATACTCAGGCTGGCTCAAAAAACTTTGAGCTGGTCTTGTTTTTACCTCCCTGGTTCTGGGAGTACAAGGGTACACCTTGTCTTTTTTATGCAGTGTTGGAGTGAGCCTCATGCATGTTAGGTGAGCACTATACTACTGAGCCACAAACTCATCCCATCTTTCATATCCTTATTTTGCCTTTATAATACACTACGAAATAATGCAGAGGTGTTGGAAGAGAAAAGGAAAAAGAGGAAATTGAAGCTGGCTATGGTGGTACCATGCCTTTAATCCCAGTACTCAGGAGGCAGAGACAGGTAGAGTTCAAGGCCAGCCAACACTACATAGTGAACTCCTGTCTCCCTAAAACAAAAGAAGGAAATATAGGCAATAGAAGGCAAGCATGGTGATACACACATGTATGATTGCCCCCACTCAAGTTCATGTTTAACATTCAAATACTATATACATGTATGATTTTATTCTTGAATTTTTTTAAAGATATGTTTTATGTATATTAGTGTTTTTCTTGCTTGCATGTATGTACAACATGCCCATACCTGGTTCCTATAGATGTCAGAAGAGGGCAGATAATCCCCTGACACTGGTTTTAGGTGGTTTGTGAGTCACCAGGTGAGTGCTGGGAACTGAACCTGGTCTTCCACAAGAGCAAGTACTCTTAACTACTGGTCCAGCTCTTTATCCTGTAAATGTATAGTTAGTTGTCGTTATTATTGTAAAGATTTATTTACTTTCATATGTATGAGTAATTTGCGTTCATGTACTTAACTACAGTGTATGCTTGCCTGGTGCCCATGGAGGCCAGAAGTTGGTTCTGAGTCCCTTAGAATGAGATTGTGGACAGTTGTGAGCCTCCATGTGGGTCTTCTGCAAGAGCAGCAAGTACTTTTTACCACTGAACCATCTCTCTAGACACTTAGATGTTTAGTTTTATTGTCCCATTATATTAAGACTGATTTTTTTTCTACCTATAGTACAGTTTTTGTTACTAAGATGAGGTATAAATGTATATACTTAGAAAATAAATAATTAGTCAGTTTTGCTCTGCTATTACTTAGATTCTTTGGTTAGTCGCATAAATAATAAACTTTGTAAATGTTTATATGCTAAGCCATAACATTAAGTAATCAAGTGTTCAAAATTAGAAAATGTGATGTGGGACTGGAGAGATGGCTCAGTAGTTAAGAGCACTGACTACTCTTCCAGAGGACCCAGGTTCAATTCCCAGGACCCATGTGGTAGCTAACAACTGTCTGTGACTCCAAGATCTGACACAGTCATACATGTAGGGAAAACACCAATGCAAATAAAATTAAAAATAAATAATTTAAAAAATAGAAAATATGGAACTGGAGAGATGGCTCAAAAGTGCACTGACTGCTCTTTCAGAGGTCCCATGTTCATTTCCCAGGATCTACATGGCAGCTCACAACTGTAACTCCCAAGATCTGACAACTCAGACAGACATACAGGCAGGCAAAACACCAACACACATAAAATAAAAATAAATTAAGAACAGACCAGATGATGGTGGCTCGCACCTTTAATCCCAGCCCTCAGGAGGCAGAGGCAGGTGAATCTCTGAGTTTGAGGCCAGCTTGGTCTATAGAAGTAGGTTCCAAGACAACCAAGACCACACGGAGAAACCCTGTCTCAAAAAACCAAAACAGAAAATGTATACCTGATAGGGATGAAGAATTAATATAAAGTGAGAAAAGTCTGACATGGCATATGTCTTTGTTTTGCGAGGCAGAATGTTAAGGGATGACTGAACAGGAAATAAAATATATACGACATAGTACACTGGAGCTGGAGGGATGGCTCAGTGGTTAAGAGCACTGACTGCTCTTCCAGAGGTCCTGAGTTCAATTCTCAGCAACCACATGGTGTCTCACAACGATCTGTAATGAGATCTGATGCTCTCTACTGGCATGCAGGCATACATGCAGGCAAAACATTGTATATATAGTAAATGAAACTAAATCTGAGAAAGAGAGAGAGAGATACTACCTTGTAAAATAGCTAAGTCACGTATGTAGAATTCTTTAAAGCTCCTGTGGCATTTCACTCCTGTCATCCTAGCACACCAATGTTTTCCTGTCCTGTGCCTGGACTTGTCCTACTATACATATAGGTTGATCGTCTCCGATGTAAAAATAAGAGGTGAAACGTGTGGAAGTCTGAAATTTTTAATCAAAAACCTCATACTCAAGAAGTTTCAGATTTTGGACTATTCAGTGGATTTTCAACTGGTAAAGTCTATCCAAATACTCCAAATCTACTAAAGTCACAGTCCAAAGCATTTTTGGTCCCAGGTTTTCCAGATACTAGTTTCTTTACCTGTGTTACATTATTGGTTTAATTTTTCTTAATGTGTTCTAGACTGAGGCAGCTAAATTAGTTCCAATGGGATTCACTACTGCAACTGAATTTCACCAAAGGCGATCAGAAATCATACAGATTACTACTGGCTCCAAAGAGCTGGACAAACTGCTTCAAGGTATAGTAATCCCTTATCCTATTTTATAAACCCTGATAAATACAGCTGTATGTCAGAACAAACCTGAATGTTGGTGTGGAACCTGTTAGATGGGGTTTGACATAGACAAGGGTGAACAGGAGATTTCTTCACCCCCATGACTGGCTGATTCTGCAGGTTTGCTTTTGTAAGATTTTCTTAGTTTAGGGCTCTGTTTGTTGATTTGCTGGCTTGTGTTGACGTCTCATGTTCCAGCTCATTTGAACATATTGTGGGTTATAGGAATGCCAGCTTCTCTCTGATGCTGTATTATATTATAGTTGAGAAAGATGGTGACACTGTAGGAGGTTCGATGAAGAGTACCTGTAGATTTCTTTGTCACCTTCCAGAAACCTAACATTATTTTAAAAATGGTGATTTAAATATTTTTCTTATTTTTGGTGGCTTTAGAAGTTGAATCAGGAGCCAAGGAAGTCCTTAAATTCTTGATCTTCTTGCCCCTATTCCCCAACTACTAGGATTTGAGATTATAGGAATTAATTATACTAGCTGTGTCTTATAAAATACTAAAATTACCTGTAAATTAAATAACATTTGGTTTAGTTTTGAAACACTGTCTCACTCTCTAGCTCTGGCTACAAATTAAGTAATTTAATCTTTGTTACTGTATTTAGAGAATAAGTTCCCTCTGCTTAAGGAAATAAGTATGATGGTACATATGTTTATATATTTATTTACTCTAATACAAGATTGAAATTTGATGATTGTTAAATATAATGGAGGAAGACAGACCGATAGCTCAGCAAGTGGTGGGTGCCTCACATCTTTGACCTGAGTTAGGTCCCTTTAATCCACAGAAGGAGAGACCCTTCTGTGGTTCCCCAGAGTTACTCTCTGTCTTCCATATGTGAGCTGTGGCATATGCCTGCCCAGACTCACACCCATCATAATACACAGTATGATATATACACTTATGATAATAACAAAATTTTAAAAACAAAGGCAGCTAGGTTGTTTCCAGGTTCTGGCTATTACAAATAGTGCTGCTATGAACATAGTTGAACAAATGCTTTTGTAGTATGATAGGGCATCTCTTGGGTATATTCCTAAGAGTGGAATTGCTGGGTCCTGAGGTAGGTTTACTCCCAGTTTCCTGAGAAACCGCCACACTGATTTCCACAGTGGCTGCACAAGTTTGCATTCCCACCAACAATGTATGAGTGTTCCCCTTACTCCACATCCTCTCCAGCATAGGCTATCATTGGTGTTTTTGAGTTTAGCTATTCTGACAGGTGTAAGATGGTATCTGAAAGTTGTTTTGATTTACATTTCCATGCCCCATGGGAAGTCCAAGGTCTTCCCCCCTCCATCCAGGTCTTTAAAGGTAAGCATCTAAACAAACCAGGCTCCCACAAAGTCAGTCCATGCAGTAGAATTGAAAATTGAAACCCAGCTGGCCTAGGTGAGCTCCCATTAGATCCGTCCCAGTGTCTCAGTGGGTGGATGCACCCCTTGTGGTCCTAACTTCCTTGCTCATGTTTTCCCCTACCTTTAGAGACCTGGATGGAGGGGGGAAGACCTTGGACTTCCCACGGGGCATGGAAACCTGGCTGCTCTTAGGACTAGAGAGGGAGGGGGAAGTGGGGAGGGGGAGAGAAAAGGGAGGCGGGGAGGAGGCGGAAATTTTTTAATTAATTAATTAATTAATTAAAGTTTAAGCAGCCAAAAAAAAGAAAAAAACAAAGGCAGTGGTAGCGAATATCTTTAATCCCAGCACTCAGGAGGCAGAGGGAGTCAGATCTCTGTGAGTTCAAGGCCAGCCTGGTCTATAGTGAGTTCCAGGACAGCTAGGCCTACAAAGAGAAATACTGTCTCAAAAACCAAAAGAAAGAAGGAAGGAAAGAAAATTAAAAAAAAAACAAAACATGGGAAAAATTGAGCCCAGAGACTAATGTGCTCTTTCACTGAGCTATACGTCTCGATACAAAACATTCTTTATTTAGCTACTAATTGGAGTATAGTTTGTTAATATTTGTTCATTGCGAGGCTGGCCTGGAACTCACAGAAATCCCTCTGCCTCTGTTTACTGAGCACTGGGATTAAAGGCAAGCACCCCCTTGTCAGTCTGGTTTTGAACTCTAAGATCCCCTTCCCTTCCCACTGGATCTCATGGCTCATGCCTGTAATCCTACCACTTAGGATGTGAAGGGAAGGGGATTAGATGTTTAATGTCATCCTCAGCCACAGAGGGAGTTATGGCAAGCCTGAACTACTAAAGCCCTGTCTCACAAAAAATAAAGGATTCTCATTCCTAGTATTCGTTGACTGGATTAATGGTGAAAATAATATTTCTTGGGACAATTATTTAATGTCCCTATGCCTGTTTTCTTCAAGATGAGATTGATAAGACTTTGTATCCCTTAGGCTTTTAGTTACACGAGTGATACATGTAAGTACATTGGCCAGGGAGACTCACATGAAATGGTAAATACTGGATTGTTTTAAAACTGCAGAAGCTACTTGTGGGCTTTTCATGATTGAGTTTTATAACTTGATAATTCATGTAACAATTATATGAAGTTATACATGGAATAAAATTGCCCAGAAACTATAGCAACACAAAAGAATACATGAATAAATGGAGACTTGAACATGCTGAGGATTTCATGAATGTTAGCTTTTGTTAGAAGTTGACCCTGAGGAGACAAGGTGATGAATGCCCAGAACTTCTTGTATATAAAATAAGCTGTAATTATTTTAAAGCAAGTGGGATTTTTGTATATTTGTTGTTTTTATTTTATTTTTTTGTGGTAATTAGGAATTGAATCCAGGGCCTATTATGCTAAGCAAGCATTCTACCATCAAGCTACAAGGTCTTAATGTATGGTGCAGGCTGGTCTTGAATTTCCTATATTTCTCAGACAGGCTTTGAACTTTTTTATTCTCCTGCTTCATCTTCCCACAAAGCTGGCCTGTAGGTGTGTGCTAGTGAGCCTAGCCTACTCCCCCCACCCCCAAAATGAACAAATAACCAATTATTGAAAATGGGGGTTTTAGCCAGGCAGTGGTGGTGCATGTCTTTATTCCCAGTACTTGGGAGGCAGAGGATGGTAGGATCTCTTGTGAGTTCCAGGACGGCCAGGGCTGTTACACAGAGAAACCCTGTCTCAAAAAAAAAAAAAAGAAAGAAAGAAGAAAAAGAAAATGGGAGTTTTTCTCAGAACATCCATGTGCTCCAGGAGCATAGTTTATGAATAGTTATTTTATGTGGGGCACTTTTTACTCTCCTAGGCGGAATTGAGACTGGATCTATCACAGAGATGTTTGGAGAATTCCGAACTGGGAAGACACAGATCTGTCATACACTGGCTGTAACATGCCAGGTGAGTTACTGGGGTTCAGGCTAATCAGATCAGCAGGCATTGGTGGACTCATGATATCTGCATGCACCTGTTAGGGTGTAAAAGGTTCTTTCTATGGAACCCCATAACCAGTTAGAAGATAATTCCTACTGAAAATCATTCCATACCATAGAAATTTCCAGATGATTGACTCAAAATATTTTCCTACTGTTTCTTCTCCTGGATTTATCTGCCTTTCTTCATTGGTCTAAACTTCACTTATTTATTTATCATCTATTTATTTTTATATGTATGGGTGTTTTGCTGGCATGCATATCTGTGTACTGTGTTCATGCCTTGTGCTTTCAGAGACCAGAAAAGGCACCAAACCACAAACACTACCACCACTCCAATCTGGAAATAACAGTAGTTGTGAGCTGCCATCTGGGTGCTGGGAATCAAACCCTGGTCCTCTGGAAAAATAGCCACTGCACGTAACAGATAAGCCATCTCTCTAGCCCTGCAGTCTACACTTTATGTCTCAAAAAAATATGTGTAGCAATAATAACCTGACATGATTCATTAAACACGGTACCTAGTCTTTAATAGAAATCCTTTCTCTGTAGTTTTTTGTGTGCTACACATGTGTGTTTCTGAAGGCCAAATGCCTAAGCGCCCGCAGGGACAGAGGTCCAGATGTCTTCCTCCATTACTCTCCACCTCAATTCCTTTAAGACAGGTTCTCTCCCTGGACTTAGAGCTCATGGTTTGTTTGGCTAGACTGGCAGTCAGCAAGCCTGGGTTATTCTCTCTCTTTTTCATAGCACTGGGATTGCAGGTTCCGTTGAGACTACACCTGACTTGTTAAATTGGTCATGAGATCTAAACTGAAGTCTTCAAGATTGTATAATGTACACTTTTTCTCCTCTCTCCTCCCCTCCCCTCACCTCCCCTCCCCTCCCCTCCCCTCCCCTCCTCTCCTCTCCTCTCCTCTCCTTTCCTTTTCGGACAGCCTTTCTCTGTAGCTTTGGATCCTGTTCTGAAACTCCCTCTGTAGACCAGGCTGGCCTCAAACTCACAAAGGTTGACCTGCTTCTGTCTCCTTGAACTTGTTAGCAATGTTTGACATTTGAACTAATAAGTCATTTTATTATTTGTTTGTGTTTTGAGACAGGGTTTTCTACATAGTCCTGAAACTCATTCTGTAGACCAGACTGGCCTTGAACTCAAAGAAATCCACCTGCCTCTGCCTCTGCCTCCCAAGTGCTGGGATTAAAGGTGTGTACCACCACCACCTGGTGAACTGATGAGTCTTAATATGTAGTTTTTATCACATACTTTGGACTGTTTCAAAGCAGTACAACTCTGATAAAACACTAGCTTTATGTGCTTCATGTCTGTTATTAACTTGTATTATGTCCTGCTGCCTCTGATTGTCATTTTTGTTTCTTTCTTTTTTAATGCGTATGGCTGTTTTGCCTATGCATGCATGTCTGTGTATGTCTGGTGCCCATGAAGGCCAGAATAGCATTTTGGATCCCCTAGAATTAGTTACAGGGTTGTGAGTCACCAGGTGGATTCTGGAAATAAAAGCTGGGTCCTCTTAACTGGAGCCATCTATACAGACCTTGCTTTCTTATGTATGTATTGGTATTTTGCCTGCATGAATGTTTGTATGAGGGTGTCTGATCTCCTGGAATTGGAGTTACAGACAGCTGTGAGCTACCACATGGGTGCTGGGAATTGAAACTAGGTCCTCTTTGAAGAACAGGTCACTGGACCACCCCTCCAGCCCCGTGCTCTTTTATTTCCTGGCGCAAGGTCTCATACTGTAACCCAGCGTGTCTTGGAACTTAGTATGTATTTCAAGCTGGCTTCAAACTCCTGGCTTCAAGCATACTCTTGCCTCTGCCTCCTGGGTGGGAGTTCAGGTAGGTGTGCCTCACCATTCCCAGTTCATTATTTTAAAGTTGTTTATTTGTTTCCTTTTTTTGTAATTGTTATGATTTTTTTTAATTTTTGAGATAATAATATAGTGTGTATATGTTTTCAGGATTGAATTGTTGGTTTTCTTGGTTGTCTGGTTGGTTGGTTGGTTGGTTAGTTTTTTGAGACAGGGTCTCTCTAGCCCTGGCTGTCCTGGAACTGCTCTGTATACCAGGCTGCCCTTGAATTCACAGATATCTTGCTTCCCTGGTGATGGAAAAAGGCTTGTCCCATCCCGGCCCAATGTGTTAAAGTGTTTAACCCTTATGTGGAGTGGATTAGATTTGATTTATCATTGGGAATTTGGCATGCTGTATCAGAAGAGTGATGGTTCCCACTGTTTCTTTTTTCCCTCTAGCTTCCCATTGATCGTGGTGGAGGTGAGGGAAAGGCCATGTACATTGACACCGAGGGTACATTTAGACCAGAACGGTTGCTAGCAGTGGCTGAAAGGTAGGTCACTTAGAAGGATGTGTTTAACCTGTTACTAGAGTATTTAGGAATGTTAATGTGTCTAGAAAGTGTCTTTGCTGTACATACCAGTTGTGTGATTTAAAAGAACAATGTTAGTAATGTAAGACACTCTTTACTTAATGCTTTGTAAATTCTCACAAGCTGAATCAAAAACAAGATCCAAATATATATTGTCTTCCAGAGAAACGCTTTAAGACAGATTGGAAATAAAATGGTTGAAAAAGATAAACATAATCAGAAACCAAAAGAGAAACTAAGACTGCAGCAGTCCCCACTCCCTCCCCACAAAAAACTACTGAAGATGAGAAAAACTTATTTTTAACATGTGTATTTCTATAGGCATGGATATGCCCATGCATGGTGCACACGTGGAGGCCAAAGGACAACTTCCAGGAGTCAGTTCCTCCATCCACCATGTGGGTTCCAGGAATTGAGCTCAAGTTTGGTGCCAGTCTTCTGAGCCACCTCATTTGCCCAGGAAGAACATTTATAATTAAAAGATCAGTTCATCAGGAAGGCATGATAATTATAAACATAATTAAGATTTATTTTTATTTTAAATGTGAGTGTTGCCTGCATGTATGTCTGTGTACTGTGTGCAGGAATTACATATGGAGGCCAGAAGAGGGTGTCAGATACCCTGTAACTGGAATTATAAATGGTTGTGAGCTGGGAGTGGGGGAGGTGGTGTAAGCCTTTAATCATGCATTTGAAGGCAGAGGCAAGTGAACCTCTCTGAGTTCAAAAACAAAACAGTAAATGCTTGTGAGTGAGCCACCATGTGAGTGTTGGGAACTAAACTCAGACAGTAATCGCTTTTTGTTTTGGGGTTTTGGTTTTTTCGAGGCAGGATTTCTCTGTGTAGTCTTGTCTATCCTGAAACTTGCTCTATAGAACAGGCTGCCATTGAACTCATGTGGTACACCTGCCTCTGCCTTTGAGTGCTAGGAGTAAATGTGTGCTCCACCACCTGGCACAATATATTTTAATACCCACAACTACATCTCCAAATTGAAATCTGTAAATCCTGTCAAAATTCTAGCAAGCTTTTTTGCAAATTGACAAACTCATAAGATTTATGTAGAAAATAGTTTCATTTATTTATTTATTTGTGTCTGGGAAGAAGGTGTTTTGTCTGCATGGGTGTCTGTGCACCGTAGTGCCTGGTGACTTCAGAAGCCAAAAGAAGGCATTGGATATCCAAAATTGGAATTTTGGTGTACATTATGGTTGTGAGTCATGGGAATTGAACCTAGGACCTCTGGAAGAGCAGCCATCATTTTTAACTACTGAGCCATCTCCAGCCTGAGTCTTCAACTTAAAACTCATTATAAAACTACAGTAGTCATTACAAATGATTATGACTTAAAAATAGATATGCAGCTAGGGATATAGCTCAGGTAAAGTATTTGTCTAGCTACATGAGACTCTAGGTTTGATTCTTATTATCGAAAAGAAAAGGTATGTGTAGGGAGAGTTACTAAACAGGCATAGTTACTAAACAGACAGGCCAGCCTAGTCTGAAGGCTACATAAGACCCTGTTGATTGATAGGTAGGTTGGTAGGTAGGTAGGTAGGTAGGTAGGTAGGTAGGTAGGTAGGTAGATAAGATCAATGGAACTGAATATAAAGTTCAAAGTAAAACTTTAACCATTGGATTTTTCTTTTACTTATATATTCAGTTTTTTGGGTCGTTAGGGTTTTTTGTTGTCATTCTTGTTGATTGTTTGGGGGGGCAGTTTGTTTTATTTTGAGATCGGGTAGGTCTGGTTGTCCTGGAAACTGATATGTAGACCAAGCTAGCCTTAAACTCAAAGAGATCCTTTTGTTTTTGCCTCCTAAGCACTGGGATTAAAGGTTTATACCACCACACCCAGCTTATGAAGATGATTTTAATTTAAGAAAGAAAGAAAGGAAGGAATAAAGCAAGCAAGCAAGCAAGCAAGCGAGGTGGGGAGGGGGAGGGAAAAGGGAGGCGGGGAAGAGGTGGAAATTTTTAATAAATAAATAAATAAACAAAAGAGGAGGGAGGGAGGGAGGGAGGGAGGGAGGGAAGGAAGGAAGGAAGGAAGGAAGGAAGGAAGGAAGGAAGGAAGGAAGGAAGGAAAGAAAGAAAAGCCCCCAAGGTCTCCCAGGTAATTCTCTAAAATACTATGCAAGTGTTAGTTACACATCTTGCTGGAGCAAAGGAGTTTCATCGCTGAGAGCAAAGGGTCTCCAGAAGTTTCCTATACCTCTGGATTCTACACTTTTTTACAAGTTCTTACTTGAAATGAGGACCCTGAGGCACAGAGGGCAAGGGACTGACGTAAGAGCAGACTGCAGGGAGAAACATGGACCAAAACCCATCCTCTTTTTCTGTGTCTTCTGGCTGGCCTGGAAATTACAGAGGTCCACCATCCTCAACCTCCTAAGTGCTGTTTGCCCTTCTTTTACAAGACTATAATTCCTCTAGGGAAAACAATGTGCTTCTACACCTTTTCATTGCATTTTGTATATTGATCAAGCACTGAATAAATACTGTAATTTTTATCCGCACCCTAAACAAGAGAAACATCTACAGTCATTTTTGATCCAAGTAATGTTCTATTTGTTTTCATTTTTTGTCTTATAATTTAAAACATAATGTTAGGACTGACAAAGTGGTTTAGTAGGTATTTGACTACCTCAGCTCAGTCCCCAGGACCTACATGATAAAGGAGAAAACAGACTCCTGTGGCTGTTCTCTGACCTCCACATATGTCATGCAGTGTGTACAACAACGTGTAGAATTTTTTTTTTAATTTTTAAATTGAAATGGTATTTAAATGAAATCTAATGGGCTCTAATTCTTTGGGAGCTTGTGTTTATGGTTCTATCAAGGGTAAAAAGTGGGAGAGTGTTATCTTTGGGCTGTGGGTCAAATATATAGTAATTAGGAAATATATATTTTATGCATTTAGATCATGGCAATAAAGGAGGAAATACATATGAATTCTGCTGAGTATGATAATGTATACCTGCAATCCAGTACTAGGGAGGCCTGGGCAGGGGAATCTTGAGTTCAAGATCAGGTGGAGTATATATTGTCTCAAAAAAGGAAACCATGGGCTGATCCTAGTGGTGCACACCTTTAACCCCAGTACTCGGGAGGCAAAGGCAGGCATCTCTGTGAGTTCGAAGCCAGCCTGGTCTACAGAGCAAGTTTCAAGACAGCCAGAACTGCACAGAGAAACCTTGTCTCAAAAAAAGAAAGAAAACCAAAAAAATGGGCCTAGCATGGTGGTAGAAACCTACATTGTCCAATAAGAGAAAATGGAGGCAGGAAGATCAGGAGTTCTAGGCCATCTTCAACTACATAGTACACTCAAGGCCATATTGTGCTAAGAAAATATCTCAAACAAGGTAATTATGATAATGCACTCGTAATCTAAGCACACCAGAGGCAAAGAAAAAATTATTGAGTTCCAGGATACCCTGAGCTACATAAGAGTTCTAAGCAAGCCAGAGCTATATAGTTCGACCCTGTGTCAATAACAACCAAGGGCTAGGCATATTGGTACAAGTCTTTAATTCCAGCAATTGGGAGACAGAGACAGGTGACTCTGAGTTCCATGCTAGCCTTAAACATAGTGAGACCCTGTCTCAAAAATGGGGGGCGGGGGCAGGTGCAAAACAAGTTTTTATTTACACTTTTTCTTCTCCAGTGTTAAGAATCAAGCCAGATTTTAGAAGCGCAAAAGGAAGAGAATTACATCTATTTTAGAGGTGAGGGGAAGCTGGCAAAGTATGGTCTCTAGGCACTTGTTATGCAGCTGTGCTGGAGACTGGGCCTTGAGGATCCCCAGAGCCCAGGAATTTGGGGCTAGCCAAGGAAATATAGTCATATACCCTCAAAAATTCTCAGAAAAAAAATTATAGCAGGCATTTGGCTTAGTCTCATAGATAATAATCAAACTTGCTACTTTCAAAGATGGAATCTCCCCTATTATTATATATTTAATAAGAGTGAAATTGTTGGGTTTGGCATCGTGAGGCATGCCTTTTTTAATTCTCCCACTCCAGACATAGTCGGGCAGGTGTCTGATCTCAAGGCCAGCCAGGGTGACAGCACAGTGAAGAGAGAGATTGTCCTGCTTGAGCCACCTTAGCATTTCTTAGGTGACAGTCACAAAGTTGAGAAGATATAGATCATTCTATGGAAAGAGATAAATACTTTGCTGTTTCTAGATGTGAAATAAAACAATCTTTGAGGCATAAATATGAAAGTTTCATTCATTTAACATAACTAATCTTTGAATGGATTGTTATTTTTGTTTATCCTAATTCTCTGTAGTTCTTGGCTTTTTCAGGAGAATATTGTTACCTCACACTGTAGTTACCTAACTGTAGTTAGGAGGTCAAAAGAATAAATTTACTTTTAGTATTGCTTCTAGTCTAAAATAGTTGTTGCTGTCATCTCTATAACTGGTTTGCCTGTACCTCTAGTAGGAAGGAAGTCATGTTTGTGGGTCTTGAAACCACTGGGAACGCCACTTCTTATCTATTCGGGTAATAGAAGTATTGGGTATTAATTTCTCGTGTGCCTGAGTTCTGTCTTAAGCCTAAAAATCTCTTTTCTAGGTACGGTCTCTCTGGCAGTGATGTCCTAGATAATGTAGCATATGCTCGAGGGTTCAACACAGACCACCAAACCCAGCTCCTTTATCAAGCATCAGCCATGATGGTAGAATCCAGGTATGCTTTCAATAAAAGATATTAAATGTGTCACCACAGCCTTTTCCCTGAATCTAGGCATTTGAATATAAATAGGGAGAGAGATTTTAATTTGGGGGGTTTTTATAGATTTTTTTTCTCTCTCATGTGTGTTTGGATTGGTTTTGGTTTGGGGTTTTGTTTTTTTTGTTTTTTTGTTTTTTGTTTTCAAGACAATGTTTCTCTGTAGCTCTGGTTGTCTTGGAATTTGATCTGTAGACCAGGTTGGCCTTGAACTCAAAGATCCACTTGTCTTTGCCTCCCAGATGCTGGGATTAAAGGTGTGCGCCATTATGCCTGGGAGTGGGTTGGGGGGGTATTTTTTTTTGCCCCTCCCCCCCAGACAGGGTTTCTCTGTGAAGCCCAAGCTGTCCTGGACTCACTCTATAAACCAGGCTGGCCTTGAACTAAGAGATCCACCTTCCTTCTACTTCCCAAGTGCTGGAATTAAAGGTATATACCAGTACTGTCGGCTTTTGTTTTTTGTTTGTTTTCAATATAGTGATATAGTGTTTGGTTTTATTTATTTATTTATTTTACTTATGTGTGTTTCTATAAATGTATGCCTCGTGTGTGGGAGTAGAGGTAGAAAAGGACTAGAATCCCTTGGAACTGGAGTTATAGGCCATTATGAGCTACCTTGTATGGGTACTGGGAAATAAACTTGGGTCTTCTGAAAGCAGAACAGCTGAGCCATCTTTCCAGCTCCAAGTTCCTTTCGTTCAAAAATATTTTTTAAATTATTTATTTATTTATTTATTATGTGTACAATATTCTTTCTGCATGTGTGCCTGCAGGCCAGAAGAGGGCACCAGACCTCATCACAGATGGTTGTGAGCCACCATGTGGTTGCCGGGAATTGAACTCAGGACCTTTGGAAGAGCAGGCAATGCTCTTAACCACTGAGCCATCTCTCCAGCCCCCTCAAAAATATTTTTATGTGTATTTTGTGTGTGACGTGTAAGTGTTCATGTGTAAACACACATTCGTATGTGAGTGTGGGCATACATATGAAGTGACTCACGTGCAGGTTAGAGGACAATTTTGGATGTCAGTTCTCACTCTCCACCTCTTTGAGACAGCATCTCCATTATTCTCTGCTGTGTATCCAACCAGGCTAGTGAGGCCATAGGCTTCTAGAAACAGTTCCCATCCTACAGTGGAAGCAGTGTGAGGTTACCACCCCTGTAACCTCAGTGACTTCCATGATCCTCCCACTTAGTGGCAGGTACTTTGCCACTGTCATCTCTGCTCTTGTTCTTATTTGGCACAGTTGCTTTACGGTTTCAGTCAAGTCACTAGTGAAAAATGAAGCTATGACATTTTTTTTCTAGAATGCGTAAGGCCTTGTTTTTAGTCTCAAGTGTTGTGAGAAACAAAACCCCAGAGCTACTTTTGCTCAAGTCTGGTGTGGTAGTTTGAACATAACTAATCCCTATAAGCTCACAGGGAGTGGCACTATTGTTAGGGGGGCTTTGTTGGAGTAGGTATGGCCTTGTTAGAGGTACACTTTCTGCTACCTGGGATTCAAGATGTAGACTCTCAGCTCCTTCTCCAGCACCATGTCTGCCTGCACGCCACCATGTCATGTCATGATGACAATGGACTAAACCTCTGAACTGTAAGCCAGCCCCAATTAAATGATTTCCTTTGTAAGAGTTGTCACCATGGTGTCTCGTCACAGCTATAGAAACCCTGAGACACCTGCCAAAAACAAAACAGAAGATACCCACCAAAGGGTGTCTCAGATTGGACATTTTATAAATATTTTAATAAAACGTGTGTTTGTGTTTGAACTAGGAAGTCGGTGTCAATAGCTCCTATATTTTATATATGAGCTTGCACTTGGGAGACTGAGACAAGTATCATAAATTTCAGAACAGCCTGGGCTACATAAATAACAAAAAGAAGAAAAGTGAAAAATATGCAATACTTGTAAAATTTTAGGGTGGTGGGGAAGAGAAGAATTTAACAAAGAACTATTTTTTTCTTGTAGGTATGCACTGCTTATTGTAGACAGTGCTACCGCCCTCTACAGAACAGACTACTCAGGCCGAGGAGAGCTTTCAGCCAGGCAAATGCATCTGGCCAGATTTCTGAGGATGCTACTGCGACTTGCTGATGAGGTAAGCTATAGTAAAGATTTCAGTGTCTACAAATTGCAGGAGCCTTCTGAGGAATTAGTACCTTGTATTATCAAAGATGAGCATAAGTTAGCCATTGATTTGTTGTGAGCGTTAATGTTTTGGTATGTCTCTGGTAACAACTGACATCCTTTCCCTCGTCAGTTTGGTGTAGCAGTGGTAATCACCAACCAGGTAGTAGCCCAAGTGGATGGAGCAGCTATGTTTGCCGCAGATCCCAAAAAACCCATTGGAGGAAACATCATTGCCCATGCATCAACAACCAGGTAAGGTGATGACAGAGGCTTTCTGGAATGAATGTCATAAACTGTGATACAGACTTCCTGGCCGGGCAGTAGTGGTGCATGCCCTTAATCCCAGGATTTGGGAAGCAGAGTCGGGTGGATCTCTTTGAGTTCGAGGCCATCCTGGTCTACACAGTGAGTTCCAGGACAGCCAGGACTGTTATATAGAGAAACCCTGTCTCAAAAAAAGAAAGAAAGAAAATATTGCCACTTAAACCCTATTAAAATTGTTATAGTATAGACATTTAGGAAGCCTCACTAAATTTGTTGTGTTTTGGTTGATACAACTGTTTGCTTTGCGGATGGAGAGATGACTCAGTGATTATGAGCATCTTCTGATCTTGTAGAGAACCTGAGTTCAGTTCCCAGCACCTCCATCAGGTGGCTCGCAACCTCTTGTAACTCCAGCTCCAGGATATCCACCAGCTCTGGCCTCTGACAGGCACCTGCGCTCATGTGCACATAGACACAGACACAAACACCTACGTATAATTAAAATCTCTCGAGTGTGAAAAAAATATGAATATTTGATATGCCTCCCTAATTATAAAATAGTGTTTGCTTCTCAAGCTTTTCAATAAGGGAGTCATGGCAGAAATGAATTCCTCCAAGTTAGGGGTAACCAAATACACTAAAAAAGATCCTAAAAATCCTCTTAGGAAGTTAACGCTGTCTGAACAGTTCTATCATAGGAAGAGAATTGTTTATAACTTGGTGTTTTTCTCTGTCTTTGGGTCAGGCTGTACCTGAGGAAAGGAAGAGGGGAGACCAGAATCTGCAAAGTCTATGACTCTCCCTGTCTTCCGGAAGCTGAAGCCATGTTTGCCATTAATGCAGATGGAGTGGGAGACGCCAAGGACTGAATGATTGGGGCCTTTTTTTCCTGGTTAAACTTTTAAATGCTGTATAGCTAATGAAGAGGACAGCTCCCTGGGCTTCTTCAGGCTCTTCCTGGTGTGACTGCCAAGGCATGGCTTCCGGAAAAACAATTATTGTATCAGCTTTCTGGTGGCAGAAACAGCTGGGTCAGTATTCAAACTGACCTGAATGCTCATTTCTTATAGAGTATATTAATGTCTGGTTTCTTTGGTGTTGGGAGGAGAGATAGGATCAGTCTTACGTTTCAAGAGAAGTAAAACTGGAAAGACCTGAGTCTCCTCTCACTTCTCAGTAATGGTAAAATAAAATGTCTGAGATGTGTAACAATGGGAATGGGTGCTTTCTACATTCTTTTTCTCTATATGTAAGATGCAAGCTTTAAAATTATATGCTTGAATTCTCACATAATTTAAAAATTGTTTTGGTTAAGGAGTCTTGCATGAGATATGCTAGACTATCAGCCCAATGATGCATCTTGTTCTTGAAGCATTTATCTAAATTGTTCTATTAAAAACTCAGGAGTCAAATATTGGGGTAAAACCTGATAGATCAAGAAAGAAGCAGAGGCCAGACACAGTGTAGCTCATGCCTTCAAACCTAGCACTCGGGAGGAAAAGGCTGGGTGATCTCTGAGTTCAAGGCCAGCCTGGTCTACAGAGTGAGTTCTAGAACAGCAAGGTTTACACAGAGAAACCCTGTCTCAAAAACAAACAAACAAACAAAAAAAAGTGGCAGAGTAACAACCAGTTGACCACACTTCCCAGATCAAAAAAGTCCATGAATCTTTCTAGGCCCCTCTCTACTTCTTTCTGTGCCTCTTTGTCAATTCCTGGGTCCTCCAAACTCTCCATGGCTAATTCAAATATTCTACAATATATCCTTTTAATTACTAAGAATTCTCTTAAGCATATTTGTTCTGTGTCTGCTAATAAAGTAGCTATATATAGTAAGTATGCTGTTTGCAGGAGATATTTATTTTCATGCAAGCTGAGTATTGCAAAATGATCTCCATAATATCGTTGGGTACCAAGTAATGATGATCAGTTGCTATAGTTGTAAAATTTGAAAACTAAAGAAAGCCTAATTTAGATTAATCCTTTGGCATAGGAATGAGATTGCCAGACTGATTTACTTCTACGTCTTCTTTCCTGAGGTCTTTGTTTTTATTCTCCAAGTCATGTGTTGCAGAGGACTGACATTGGCCAAATGATTCTATTTTAGGAATATTTCCAGAAACTGTAGTTTCTTTTGGATTATTGTCTTGTTAATAAAGTATTTCAAAACAGATTTAGAAGGAAGTTCAAAAGCAATTTCATTCAACTTTGACAGAAAAGCAATAGAATAGGTGCCCTGAAAATGCCAGCAGCTGCCAAGAGGTGAAGAGCTAGAGAGGTTGGCATGTTTTTTAAGTTAGGCATGGAGTCAGGCAGTGGTGGTGCACGCCTTTAATCCCAACACTTGGAAGGCAGAAGCAAGCAGATCTCTGAGTTTGAGGCCAACCTTGTCTACAAAGTCAGTTCTGGGACAGCTTACAGAGAAACCCTGTTTCAAAAAAAAAAGTAAGGCATGGAGATAAGAGAAACAGTAAGGAGGCCCAAAAAGTCAGGGAAAGCATGCTCAAGTTTTTGGCTGATATCCAAGGGAAAAATTATATCTATGAAGAACCAACCCAAGAACCCAAGCCTCTGATCTGAGTTTAGAGGGCACCCAGGACACCAGTGACACAAGGCTACAACTAAACAGCTTATCAAGAAAGGAAAAGCATGGTGAACTCCAGGGACCTGGCCCAGCACTTTTAACTAAAAGTGCTTGCTTGCTCTGTCAAGGACTGAAGTTCTGTTCCCAGCACCCATTCAGGTAGCTCACAAACAACTTTAACTTCTGCTCCAGAAGAATCTAACACTACCTAGCCTCTGGAAGCATGCATATCACACATAAGGTTTTTTATGTGTGTTTTCCTGCATATGTGTATATACATTACATGTATGCCCAACTGGTGTCCACTGAAATCAGAAGTCATCAAATGTCCTGGAACTGGAGCTACAGATGGCCTTGAGTCACCTTATGGGTGCTGGGAGCTGGGCCTGGGTCCTCTGTAAGCAACAACTGCCTGTAACCATCGAGCCATCTCTCCAGATGTTAGTTCGGTTTTGTGTGTGTGTGGGGGGGGTGTTAACACTCCTAGAGTTCCAGGGCAGCCTAGTCCAGGAAGAGGAAAGGGATTTCTGCTCCTGGTCATCATTTCTACAATGCAGTGGGGGACCTCTGTGTAAACAAAGGTTTTCCTAGGTGGGGGGGATTAAAACATTTGCATAAGAAACTTAAAAGGTGATGAGATAAATATTAGAATTTCTTGTTCTAAACACAAGTTTCAATAGTATTTGATAGAAAGACTCCTATCTCTTACTGCTGAAGAGATAGCTCGGTGGTTAAGAACTTGCTGCTCTTCCATATCAGGTGACTCTAGCTCCAGACCAGAGTCCCTCTAGTGGCTTCCCTCAGGCAAACACATGACATACACTCATACACATAAAGAACTCAAAGTGTTTGCACTTTTTTTTGTCTTCAGTTTCCTCTGTGGAAGGAAAAAAACTCTGAAGTTGTCAAATAATGGAAACATACAACATATCCTTCTAATCAAATTTATTAGTTTATTTCAAATTTGTACCAAAAAAAATATTCCAGGCTTCTCTTCAGGTCATTTTCAAAATATATTTTTAAACCCTTTGTCAGTGCTGTCATCCCCAAAACTGCCAGAATGCACGTGGTCCAGCCCCTCACCCCAAGAATACAGGTAGAGTCTACATGATGGGTGGTCGCAGGGCAGGAATGAGGCTGTGCTGGCGTGCCTGTCTTCATAGGTAGGGTGTTACTTTAGGACAATAAATATGAGCTGAATATTAGCAAAGATTGCAGGTCCTATGCTTTGTTGCCATGGCTCTTTTTGTTCTGTAGTTCTGCTACTTCGTCCTCAGCTCTTGGCCTCCTGGGCTGTCTCCACACTTACCCTATAGCTATACTGTCTTGATTTTCCAGAATTCACTTAGGAAGAAAGCAGGAACCTAAGCTGCAAGTCCATCCCCAGTTTTAGATTAAAAGATTATAATAAATTAACTGATAACATAGAAAGTTGAGGGACATACCCTAAACCAGTCTTGCTTGGTTTCCTGAACTCAGTGGTGTCACGGGGGGAAATGCAACTTGATTTTCTTTTCTCCATTTAAGTAGTAGCCCCCAAGTCATTGAAATGTGATTATTTTCCTAAAATTACTTCCAATTCTTCCAAGTCTTTTTGGAAAGCTGAATCCTAGGAGACAAAACAAATCCAGTACAGAATCAGAATTAAGCTTTTCCCTAATTGCTAGAACCTGACAAGGGTTCTTTGCTTCTATACTAAGCTGTTACCAGTCTTCCTGACTTTCCCCATAGTCAATCAGTTTGTGCACCTCACATACTGCATAGCATGTAGGCGACTCCACATAAAATAGTAAAAGGTAACTCTGTGGCAGGTATCAGTATTTAAAGACTCTTGTGAAAAATTTTACTTAGGCCTGAGGGGAAGGTGGGCAATAAGTAAAGCATTTGTCATTTTAGTATTAGGATGTGAATGCAGACCTCAGAACCCACATCAAAGCCAAGTGCAGTAACAGAGCTGGTGGAGCCAGTGTTCTTAAGGGGGATGAGAGAAGAAGATGGAGAATCAAGACCCTGAAGCTCTCTGGCCAGCTAGCTCAGCATGCACAGTGGCGAATAACAAAGAGGTGGAAGGCAAGGACTGACGCCTGAGTGTTGTCCTGACTGGCAAACACAGAGCATTGCCAAGCTAAGTTGTGGTTTATTGCTGCAATGCTATATACTTGGGAAGCTCAGACAAAACAGTCAGATGGAGGCCAGCTGAAAGTTACATTTCAACATGCTGTCTTTACAAAAATTACTAGTTTACCTCATTAGTGACATCTGGCAGCTCCTGAGCCAACTTCATCCACCTTCTAGCTTCAGAGTTTTTTCCTAATTCTCTATAGCACTGAGAAAAAAGAACAATGAAAAACTTATAAAGAGATCAGAAAGACTAAAAAAAAAGATCAGAAAGACTCATGAATATGCAGAAGCTGAGAGTGACAGTACATGCCTTTAATCCCAGCACTCAGGAGGCAGAAGTAGGCTGTTCTCTGTGAGTTTGAGGCCAGCCTTGGCTGTTACACAAAGAAACCCTGTCTTGACAAACAATGGGGTAGAGGGAGAGATGCAGTAGCTCACAACATTACCTACTGATAATCTTGTTACTAATGCACCCTCCAGTATAGCTCTCAAAAAATAGGGGCCTAACAGTATAGATGGCTCAGTGGCAGAGCAGAGACATGTTTAATCCCAGCAGTAAAAGACCCCAGAAATACAATTTAAATATTTCCACCTATGTTAAAGGTAAATTTACCTTAGAAATATACACCCGTCCAGCTTTTGAAAATCCTGGCTGTAGTTCTTCAGCCTTGAGAAAAAAGAAAATCACTTTATTGAGAGGTTCATAAATTCAATTCAAGCTGTACTAGAAAGTTCTAAATAATCACAAAATTTATTCATTGGGTCTGGAGATTACCATTTTTATAAACTCCAAGTAGTTCTCATTTTCCCTTAAAGTAAGGTAGAAATACAAAATGATCCCCAACTAGGAAACACCTTTGACAGCAAGGGTCCCAAGAACAGCATTGTGGCTTCCACCCACCGTTCCCTTTTTGATACCTTTAGGAAGCTCTGAAGCGCTTCCTGCACAGTGGCAGTAGGAGGGCTTTCGAACAAGGCTGTAGCTGTTTTTTTTTCCAACCAGCTCAAGTGAGAGACCTACCACCAAAAAAAAATGAAGGTGTGAAATAGGTTTTAAGACTTTTTTAAGCCAGGTGTAATGGCACACGCCTTTAATCCCCAGCACTTGGGAGGCAGAGGCAGGCAGATCTCTGAGTTCCAGGGTTACACAGAGAAACCCTGTCTTGAAAAAAACAAAGCTTTTTGGGGCCAAACATGGTGTCATGTGCCTGTAACTCCAACACTATTGATACAAGAGAATCGGTTCAAAGGCAGTCTGGGGCTACATGAAATCCCATATCCAAAAAAACAAGTTTCAGGCTCAGCAATGTAAGGTCACTGGATGCCAACTCTTGACCTAAGCAGCACTCAAATGATTGAAGGAAAGAGCCAACTTCCTCGGGTTGTCCTCTGACCTCCACACACTACTATGTCCTGCGTGTACCCACATATACACAAGCACAGAGGGGTTTCTCTGTGTAGCAGCTCTGGCTGTCCTGGAACTCTTTTGCCCAGACTGGCCTCAAACTCACTGAGATTTGCTTGTCTCTGCCTCCCAAATGCTGGGATTAAAGGCATGCGCCACCATCGCACACAGACTTTTGAAGTTTCTCGGGTTGGGACACAGCTTTGGTAGCAGAGTGTGATTCCTGTAGTCAGTCACCAGCACTGTCAAAACTTCTGTGGGAATGGTAAATACACAATGTTCTGCATTAAAAGCAGTATCTAGACACATCGTTTACACCTAGCACGTAGGAGGCTGAGGCGGAGAGATTAGTCTGAGGCCAGCCTGGGCTACATATGACAGGGTCGTCTACCAATAGCATGAACGATTCTGAGGAAATAAGACCAGGAGAAACACTGAGGACTTTGCTGGAGACTGGTGTGATGGGAACTTACCTGGTAGCACCACCTGCCAAGAAGAAAGTGACTCCTGGGGTCTTCTGGCTGAAGTGCAATGGCTTTGTCCACATGTTCCTAAGGAGAAAATACAAGCTAACATCAAGCCCAGAGCTGATCCGAAAAGAGCCACAAAATACCATGTCTGCAGGGAAGCCAGTCTAAGGGAGCAAGGAACCTGGACTGGGGGCAGCACAAGGCAAAGAGAAGCCTGTCCTCACCTTGAAGCTAAAGCCACTCTGGATACGCTTCG